TATATATATATATATGTGTATATATGTATATATATGTATACATACATATGCAAAAATGAATTGCACATTTAGAAAAATGAATTGCACTGAATTGTCCTGCATCTTTAAATTCAGTTCATTCAGGTGTGAAGTGATGTCAATCAAAAAAGCCACAATTTTTGTCATCTAAAAAGAGAAATCAGTGAGCATGGACTTTATCTGTGGTTATTAAACCACTTGTTTCAGCTCTATTCTCTCTGTTAACATCATTGTTGAACAGTGAATTCATGCATTAGGATTCTGATCATATTGGGCTCTTAGGTTTGTTTTCTGTGTCTTCATTTCAGATGTGAGTGGGTACGTTTGTTCAAAGGAGTTGTGCTTTGCCTCGTAGTGCGCTTCATTTGCCGCTTTTACCAATAGTTACGGTTTCTGAACATATGAGACATGCTGGTTTTAACTGCCTGTGGGAAGAATTAACATAGAAGATTCTGTTCATTCTTGCTTTTAAATTCTATTCTCTCTGAACACGTTTCTCTTTTTGGAGAACGTCATGTGAGATAACTTCTCTGATTAGCGCAATGTTCCTGCTCTTCTTTCTATTTCCTCGTCTCTCCCCCGTGTGTCACGGTATGTGTAAATCTCACTGGAGTCAGGAAACTTGTCAGAATACTCATGTTTGATTGGCTGAGCTGCATCACCTGATGTGATTTACAACGCATTGGTCGGTGTGTTTCCTGCACCGCTGAACAAGTGCCCTAACGGCTGAATAACCTGCGCCGGTTAAAGTTGAACTCACTGTCTAATATGTATAATTCCAAAACGGATATATGTTCTGGATCCGGATGCAATTGCGTCTGGGTCCGGACCCGGACCGCCGTCCGCCAGTTGGGGACCCCTGGTCTAGGGGGATTTAAGGCTGTGCACCAGCTGCTGACAGACCATGCCTGTGCTGCCGCTCAACGACAAAAGGATGTGGACCGTACCTGAAATGGCCTTGAGCTCAGCTAGCTTTCCCCCTTAACTCCACTCTGTCCCCGCACTGCCATCCCCACAACTTTGTCGTTAGTGCAGCCGCGGTCCATTCCCGTTCTTGTGTTAACGGCCGTGCAGTGAGCGCAGAGTCAGTTTCAGTTCAGACACAGACACTAAACCAAAATACTTAAGTGTTATTGCTCATCGTCTATCAGTATCAACAATAAGCGTTGCACTCTTCTTCTACTCTGGCGTCTTATTAGGTGAGACCCGCCCTGTTGAGATTGAAAACCCTAAAAACCAACAAATGACAACCTGTGGCCTTGACAATATGGAAACTGTGACAAATGTTTTTTCTATGCTGGATTTTCTCACTACGACTTCATCTGTTCCTCTCTAGGGGAGTGTCATATGTTGCTGGTGGGCGACCCTGGCACAGGGAAATCTCAGTTTCTAAAGTATGCAGCTAAGATCATGCCTCGCTCTGTACTCACAGCTGGAATTGGATCAACAAGTGCAGGTAGGCTGTGTTCTCTGTCAGCTCTCTTGTCAGTGCTGTATATTATCCATTTATCAGGAATTTGTCAATCAAGAGCTTGACGTTCTCACATAAATAATTTGACATGCTTACATATAAACATATCCAATCACTTCATGTTTTACTGGATGAACAAAATTTATTGACAAATAATGTCTTTTGTTGAAGGACTGACCGTAGCGGCGGTGAAAGATGGAGGTGATTGGCATCTGGAAGCAGGAGCCCTGGTCCTGGCAGATGGTGGTTTGTGCTGCATTGATGAATTCAACAGTATCAAGGAACACGACCGCATCAGCATCCATGAAGCTATGGAACAACAGTCTATCAGTGTGGCCAAAGCTGGGTAGGACAGTCATGCCAACATGTCCACATGCTCATAGAATTACAGTCAAGGCAAAGAACACCGACATTCATCTAGGTTTATTGGGGTTTTGCTGTAATAAGGTGTACAAAGGCGACTGTGGCTCAGTGGTAGAGCAGGATTTGGGGATTTGGGGTTCGATCCCCGACTCCGCTAGTCCATTTCAATGTGTCCTTGGGCAAGACACAAATTACTGCTGCGGTTTATGAATGGGTATGAATGCTTAGATAGATCCTGATGGGCAGGTGGCACCTTGCATTGTATCCCCTGCCATCTGTTTATGAATGGATGAATGATGACATGTAGTGTTAAAGAGCTTTGAGTGGTTGGAAGACTAGAAAAGAACTATACAAGTGCAGTCCATCCATTTACAAGGTCTTTGAAAATAGCAGTTTCACATTGACATGTGTAAAATCTGTATTGACAAATGTCATACGTCACTGATGCATAGAGCTGCCTCTGTAACCTGAGGCTCATCATGCTTTTGTATTCTTGCCCCTCTGTTATGCTGTGTTCACACCGAGGCGTCACGAATGGAGTGATGTGTATAACTCAAATTCACCTCATTTGCGCAAGTTGAAATTTTTGAAACTCGGGTCAGAAATTTGCGTGACGCTGTATCGGGAAAGCATATCAGCGTTGAGGTTTCCTCCTGTCATCACTGACATTCTGGCGTTGTTGAATCAGGAAAAAAATATTGTAGCTGTAGGTGGGCACCCAGAGCTCTACGATACCTCATATTAGTAGAGACCGGACGCCTTTCTCAATATGCGTACTTGTCTGTACTTGTCTTCTCGTGGACTTGTGAAACGTCATCAGTCTCAGCCCAAGTACTGTTCCAATTCAAAGTTCGCATCGAGCCAAGCAAGGTCCAAATGCCCGGATGTGGCTTGCTCCGCCCATTTTACCGGGGATGCATCGGAGGTGACTTGGGTACATCCCAAGTCTCTTAATTGTCATTTCCTCGCTCCTCGCTTGAACCGGAAGTTGGTCTGCACCGCCATATTGATGGCCGTCCCAAAGCTCTTATTTAGCTCGGAGGAGCAAGGATCGAGGAGGGATCTTGTCTTGCTTTTGTTTATCTATACTTCTCCCACACGCTACATCCAACATAGTCTGCCGAAGCCTCCCTCCACCATTGCCAGTGAGCAACGGACCTTCAAAATAATAATAATAAAAAAACTGCGTTAACGCGCGATAAAATTATTATTGCCGTTAATTAATTAATGCGTTAACACGATAACGCGTTAACTTGCCCAGCCCTAATATATATATATGTATAAATACATATATATATTTATATGTGTATATAATATAATACACTTATATAATAATATATCATTTTTTATTTTCAATGGAAACGAAAAAAGCAGGGTTGTCATATTTAGATTGATTGTAAAAATACTTTACAGTAAAAAAACAGATTAAACTCATTAGCAAGACCAGCTGAGGTGGTGATGTCATCAAGTAAGCTGCTGTTCCAATTGTCCGTACTGCGTTCTCTAGACTTGAGTCTGGACTTGGATTCCAGACTCCAAAAGTACCCAAGTCCGTACTTGTGAAAGGAGAAAGGCCCTATGTGTATAAACCATATGATACAAACAATAAAAACAACGCTGCTGTATTTATGCATATATGACGATATGTTGAGTGTTGATGGAGCAATTCTAAAAGTTATTTGCTATTTTGCTCTTGTGTAGAGAACTAACCTCTTCTCACTCCTGTAAAATTTGCCTAAAATGCCTATCAACCGCGTACCCAAAGTAAACCGACAGCTCTTATTGAACCATTGGGAGTACATGTATGGTTTTAGTCTCTATTGAACGGCAACACTCTGAAGTTTCTTCACAATCAGTCAGAATCACTGTAAGTGGTACTAGCATTGAGCTATGGAGTTTTCAGCACAGTGAAAGAGAAGGATTTTATTTCCGCCTAGATTTGTTTTGGCCAACAGATGGCAGCAGTTATCTATGGCTGGGACTTATGACCCGGAAAACACAATCCTACGTCAGCATGAAGTCATGGTACCTGGTATAAGTTAGAATTTGATAACAATACGACAGAAAATTAATATTTTACACGTGGTTTACTAAGAGTGCGGCCACGTAAAAACGCATTTGGAGGCTCGCGTCACCACGTCAAAATGCATATACTACGATAAACTACGTGTCCGAAATTCGAACTATAGTTTATTTATGTCGATGTATGGTTAACTACATCATATTTAAACATTGTCAACTTTCACAGATTCTTGAAAATTCTCATGAACCAGACTTTGGTCTTGATAATCTGTCCCAGGTACCTCAGTCACGGTTTTATTTGCAGTTTTGAAAACTTTCCCAGAGGGCCATCTGATAAATCTGCATATCCTTGGCTTCCTAATTTCATTGGCTATATGGAGCCTGAGTTTGAACAGGATCTGTTGCGATTGGCTCGAGCTTTACCCAAAGAAGAGAGGCGGGCATTGTCTTTCAAAGCGGACTCTCGTTGGGTGTTCCAGACTGTGACCGGGCTATAGAAGCTCCTATTGGGTCAAATGAGGTGTCAATCTAACCGGCGGAATGCAGGCTCCATTTTGCAAAAATCTCCGCTCTGTTGACATGGAAAGTGAAATTATGCCCGAAATATGATCGCAGGTTATCATATCTGCTGGCTAATTTGAAATGATGCAACAGCACCCCGTGGGTCTTTATGGACGTACTAATGTGTTTTGGACTAAATCTTTTACTGGATTCGATCGAGTGGACCCTTAGCCACCTAGCAAGACCGTTTTTGCTGGACTATGATGCACAATGGGCACGTTATGGATCATAATCGGTGAGTCACGGCGATATTTTATCGGCTATTTTTGGAGTGCTTGTTTGACAGAGACGTTAACTGTACCTGCTGCTGTTATTGTATCTTGAAATGGTTTGCATAAATCGAATTACAAGAACCGTAGCTTTCTAATGAGATATCACATTAATACTCATCGTTACAGAGCAGTTGTGTACATAACACAAATATGCCGTTAACACTCTGACGGCCCGCCTGCGGGCCGTCAGAGTGGGATGAGGTGGTGGGCCATGTGTTTTATACTTGGGCCTTCAGTGCTGTCCTACTACAGTTTAGCCACCTCCTAATAACCTCATTATGAAGCCACAGCTACGGTTATTAGGGGTGTAACACTACACATATTCGTATTGAACCGTTCGGTACGAGGCTCACGGTTCGGTACGCATTACGAATCAAACAATACGTTTGAATGATACTAGTGCATTTGGAAAATGCAGAAGCTTAAATTGTGGGAAATATAATGTTCTCTCGGTGGAGCCACTGCACTCAACATGGCAACCCACCCGACGTAACAGGCAACGTGCTGTCTGACAAGCCCACCACGGAAGAAGAACATTGTACTCTGGTGAGGCACGTGTGTTCTGGGAGGCGCGCTATGCTAAACTAGCTTAGCAGGAAAACAACAGCAGCACACGCTACAAACTCCCCGCAGCTGTTCCCTACTGATTCAAATGGGGCTAAAGCAATCGCCACACAATCTCGATTTCTCTAGACCATAATTCCTGCTTCATAAAAGAAAACAAAAGCCCAAACGGAGAACTAAATGTCCGAACCCTAACCCCTACAAGTTATTTGTTTCGTGTAAAAATGAAGCTCACACCTACAAATACACTAACTGCAAAGTGCAGATGCATGTATACGCACATGACAGGATGCTTCGTCATTAACGGACAATGCACATCAGTGTATCCCCTAGGTTTACAGCTTTTGGGGGGGGCACAAACACTTAAAGGAATCATGGTGTTCATGTGTTTCTTTTAATGACAGCAGGCAACACTTGCCATCTTCACCACTCTGGGAGCATTTAAAAAATGCAGATGATGATATCTGCTTTTCAGGTGGTTGATGTGACATATTTTCCGACGCGCGCTTTCTGTCCGCTGGTGGGAGCGTGCGTGCGTGTGTGTGTCGGGGCGCCATTCCGCCGTGCGTGATACAGAGAGCAGAGGAGAATTGTAGACGTGCGACCATGTAGAGACAGAAATGACATGCCGTCGTTTAAATAAGATAAATAACTTAAGGCTATTACATTAGTCATTTAGCAGATGCTTTTATCCAAAGCGACTTACAATAAGTGTATTCAACGTAGGTATTCAAGAGAACTACTAGTCACCAGAAGTCATAAGTGCATCTCCTTTTTTAAACAAGCATCTAAGAGCATAAACCAGAGCAAAAGTACAGAAACAAACTAATGCGAATACAATAATTGCAACAAACTAATACGAATACAATAAGTGCAACAAACTAGTATGAATACAATAAGTGCTATGTGGAAGGCTCAGGGTAGTACTTCTTGAAGAGGTGAGTTTTCAGCCTGCGCCGAAAGATGGGCAGCAACTCTGCTGTCTTGACGTCAGTTCATTCCACCACTGAGGGGCCAGGACAGAAAACAGCCTTGACCGGGTCGATCGGCCGCAGGGACCTCTGAGCGACGGGGCAACCAATCGCCTCGAGGCAACAGAGCTAAGTGGTCGGGCGGGGGTGTAGGGCTTGACCCTGGCCTGTAGATAGGAAGGAGCTGTTCCTTTCACTGCCCTGTAGGCTAGCACCAGAGTCTTACACTGAATGCAAGATGTTACAGGGAGCCAGTGTAGAGAACGGAGAAGGGAAGTTGTGTGGGAGAACTTGGGGCGATTGAACACCAGGCGAGCTGCAGCTTTCTGGACAAGCTCCAGAGGTCTGATGGCTGACGCCGGGGCTCTGGCAAGTAGTGAGTTGCAGTAGTCCAGGCGGGAGATGACAAGAGCCTGGATTAGCACCTTCAGTGCTCCTTCCTCATGGAGGAATTTAATCTAAAGGAAAAATTTCTCCATTCACTTGAATGGGGTTTCGGCGTGAAGAGAGCTAAAAGAAACACTTAATTAACTTTGGGCCCATATTGACTAGCCATACGTTAACGTAGAAACATGATTACAATTTTAAAACGTAGACAAAACGCTGCACTTTATTGAGCCAAATGGACATTTTGATAGCTAGCACAGTTTTCATGAAGTCACAGATTAAGTTTCAGGAAAATCTTGGGTCCGTTTCAGATGTTATAATGTGTGTGTATTGCACGGCTCGTTAAGAGCTAGAGTGAGGGCATAACTGTCAGAGTGGAGCAGAGCAGGAAAATATTCTGTGATTTTTCCAAACAAATTGCTCTAGCTGTAAAGTGTCTATGGAATCCAACGGACTTACACATTTGGCTCAAAGAGCCGCAGAGCGACATGAACTCCAACCAACTGCTCCATTAGACTCCATGTTATATCTCACCACTCATTTCTCAAAGAAAGCGGACGGTACCAGTTTTGTATATTGCTCTGGAGCTCACATTATTAACACCACAAACATAAAAAACACATTACCGCGTTTGGCAGAGTCTTATCTTTCTCACGGTATCCATATTTTGGCACTCCGACTCCTGCTAATTTGTTAAAAGGAGGTTTTGTTCAAAATCACTGATTACTGCAACGTTTCTTAATCACTCTGCCTCTAACACCAGGTGCGTCCTCACCATGGCAACCAGTTACACACACACACACACACGCAGGCTCTCTCTCTGTCTGCCTCTCTACACACACACATGACTTGGAGATATTCAGTCAAAGGCATTGTTAAACCTCCTGTCTGTCTATCTCTCTCTCTCATCACTCTCTCTCTCTCTCTCTCTCTCTCTCTCTCTCTCCCTCTCTCTCTCTCTCTCTATATCATACAGTCATTCAGGTCTTAGATATTTTTAGAGAACCCACCCCCCCTCCCATTTTAAAATAAAAGCCCCAGAGTGAATTCTCACTGGAATGCTTATGATGAAGTCTATCATTTAATAACCTCTGTGTTTGTGTGTTAAACATTATGCATATGTCTCCTCTCCATCCTCTCTCAGCCACCCAGTCCCACCCTTTCAAAATAAAAGCCCTATAGAGTAACTGTATCTTAACATGAAGCTCAGAATGAGGTATGTACAGAAATGATGGGAGCGTCAGCTCCCATTATTTCCAAAGGCTTCTCAAACAAAGATGTATATGTCCAGTACAGAAATGACGGGAGTGATTTGTGGACTGTCCATCACAAATACAAGATTCAATCCAAGAGTATGAATCTAAAATGCAGAAAAGAGAGAAGCGATATCTCAATCGAACCTGAATGACACTACCGGTAACATCAGCGAGTGTAGCTATATATTGCGACGTCTTCGGGCAGTAGAAGCCACACTGTCAAAATTTCTTGCGAAATTTTCAAGTTATTATGACTAGGATTAAGCCTGATGGATTATATACAGTGTGCTTTGGCACAGGCAGTTTTACTGCCTTTGTGCTACAAAGCCACACTGAATGATATTAGCAGTCGGAGTCAGCAGGGCCATGATGGGCGGAAGGACCATGGTCTAGATATAACCACGATCCATGTAAACCTGTGAGGCGAGAAGGCACAAAGACTCCGGGGAAGAAGCAAAGTTGGTAATGAGCATTAATGGGACAGGAATTCATACAGAAGGAGATGAAGAAGAGGAGAGAGGAGCTCAGTGTAGCCTAGGAAGTCCTCCATCCGTCTAGGCCTATAGCAGTTTATCTAGGGGCTGGTCCAAGGCAAACCTGAGCCAGCCCTAACTATAAACACTATGAAAAAGAAAGTTTTAAGCCTACTCTTAAATGTGGTGAGTGCGTCTGCCCTCCAGACTGAAACGGGAATCTGGTTCCACAAAAGAGGAGCTTGATAACTCAGGGCTCTGGCTCCCATCCTACTTTTTAAGACTAGGAACCACAAGTAACCCAGAATTAAAGGAGCGCAGCTCTCTAGTAGGGTAATATGGTACTATAAGCTCCTTAAGATATGATGGTGCCGTATCAATTAGGGCTTTGTAGGCAAGGAGAAGGATTTTAAATTATATTCTAGAAGCCAGTGCAGGGAAGCTAACACAGGAGTAATATGATCTCTTCTCTTAGTTTTTGTTAGTACATGTGCTGCAGCATTCTGAATCAACTGGAGAGATTTAAGAGACTTATTAGAGCAGCCTGATAATAAGGAATTGCAGTAATCTAGTCTAGAGGTAACAAATGCATGAACTGATTTTTTAAATGTTACGTAGGTGAAAAAAGGCAGTCCTTGAAATGTGTTTTATCTTGGAGTTAAAAGACAAATCCTGCTGGTCAAAGGTAACTCCAAGATTCTTTATGGTGCTGTTGGATGCCAGCGCAATGCCATCTAGAGAAACTATATCATTAGATAACTCATTTCAGAGGTGTTCAGGGCCTAGTAGAATAACTTCAGTTTTGTCTGAGTTTAACATTGGGAAGTTGCAGGTCATCCAGGTTTTTATGTCCTGAAGACATGCTTGAAGTTTAATGAGCTGGTTGGTTTCATCTGGCTTGATCGATAGATATAATTGATCGATCGATATATTTGGGTATCATCTGCATAACAATGAAGGTTTTTGGAGACTTTTCTGATAATATTGTGTCATGGAAGCATATACTGGATAAGGTGAATACAAATGGTCTAAGCACAGAACCTCGTCGAACTCTTTGACTAATTTAGGTTAATTGATGACTCTAAATTGCCCGTAGGTGGGAATGTGAGCGTGAATGGTTGTATGTCTCTGAGTCAGCCCTGCGATAGTCTGGGGACAGTACAGGATTTGCCCAATGTCAGCTTAGATCGGCTCCAGTCCCTCACGACCCTGAATAGGATAAGTGGTTACAGATAATCAATTGACTGGATAATTAACATACAAAAGAAACAGAATGATTATAAAATTGTGATATTTGGATTATGTTCATGATTGCATGTTTTAACAGGTAACTACATTACATTACAGTCATTTAGCAGACGCTTTTATGCAAAGCGACTTACAATTCAGATTCTATCACACCGTAGGCACAGCTATGGGAGCAATTTTGGGGTTAAATGTCTTGCTCAAGGACACATCGACGTGCAACTAGCGGAGCCAGGGTTCGAACCACCGATCATTTGATCGAAAGATGGCCTTGCTCTCCACTTACCCACCGTCACCCCGGTAACAAGTAATTGTATCGGATTACATTTTTAAAGTAACCCGTACAACCCTGCCAACGAGTTACCACTATCATCTCTGAGGCAAGAGATGATAGTGGTAACCAGATGGATTAGATTTGTCATCCAGTCTTATACAACATTATCCTAGAAAACACTCTGCCTTGAAAATAGAGGCTTTTTCTTCAGAAAAACAATATTGTTGTTGGTAAGCAAAGTTAAGATTGACTTGAGTCAATGAGTTTATTCTTTATCCTGCTTTACATTGTCTCCTCTTTACAGTATGGTGTGTAAGCTGAATACTAGAACCAGCATCCTGGCAGCTGCCAACCCTAAAGGCCAGTACGATCCCAACGAGCCACTGTCTGTCAATGTGGCTCTGGCCAGCCCTTTGCTGAGTCGCTTTGACCTGGTTCTAGTTCTGCTGGACACCAGAAATGCAGAGTGGGACCACATCATCTCCTCTTTCATTCTAGAGGACAGAGGTATAGGATAAGCATTTGAATTTAGAAAAGAAATGCTAAAATCAAAACGACTACTTTCAGAAAATGAATTTTGATTATATTAATATTTGAATGATTGTTATTGTGTTATTTATTACAATATGATGATGATATTACAAAACCATCATAGGTGAATTAGTATATAACTATTATTTTACCTATTCTTTTTTTTTTTTGCATTTCTGTATGGTGTGGTCAAAGCTGGTATTTGTGCACAATTGCAGATAAAGATTTGGCTACATGCATTTATATTTTGTTTTTTTAAACATTATTGACATAATTAAACAAAGCATGTAAGACAAACTTTGAACCGGTAAATAAGTAGAACAAGAAATATAATGGAATTTAAAAAGATATAAAACCTTAAAACGTGTGTGCGTGCGTGCGTGCGTGCGTGCGTGGATATTGGGCAGCAGATGTGCCTTCTCTACTTCTCCAAGGAGTGGTTTCAATTTTGAGAGCTCATTAAACTCTGAAATCTGTGTTTACAGAGTTGAATTTTTCAGAATAAATGCTATTTAATTCATTACATTTTTTACATTTTCAGAAGAAATGCTTCTCTGTCTCTTGTTTTTTTTTTTTTTTTTTTTTTTGGGTGCCATGATTTTCTGTGTTCCTATTTGGATTCCCAGCTTCAAAATGTCTCTCTCTGTCAAGCATTGTGCTCTGGAAGTGGTCGTGGCGCTTGGTCGTGCACCTGTGAATTTTTTGTAACTATGGCGATCAGAGCTTTTCAGACGTGGCTGTCACTAATAGTTCACTGATATAAGCACTATTTACATGCACCAATTTGTTTTTAAATGCTTGAGAAACAGGAGGACATTTGAGTGAATATTTTGCAGCCAAATCAAATTGTTAACAGGATTTTCAACCTTCATTTTGTTAAAATGTATCAATCTGGAGAAATATACATCAACAGTAGCATCATATATATCAGCAAATGTGTTGATGATGTGGTGATCACAAAGACAATTAGATCATTCCCCAACCAGAAAGTCTGGATGAATGGAGAGGTGATGGCACTATCCAAAGCCAAAAAAACCTGCCTTTTGGTCAGGTGACAAGGAAGCATACAGTATCGCTAGAGCTACACTGACAGCTTATATCAAGGAGGCAAAGCGGAGGTGTCAAGAGAAACTAATGAGAGACCTCAACATCAACAACACTAAAGATACGTGGCAGACGATCCAAAATGACGAAGGCTAAAAAAGCAAGAGTTCACCCATCATGGGTGAGGTCACGCTGCCAGATGAGCTGAACACGTTTATGCTCACTTTCATCTCCTCAACAAAGAGTCAGCTGTCAAGTCTACCAGAGGACCGCCCACTGTCAGTATTCACAGAGGATGTGAGAAAAAACCCTGATGAGAGTTGATATGAGTAAAGCTGCTGGGCCTGATAACATCCCTGGTCCTGTCTATGAACATGTACCAACCAGCTAACTGATGTCATCACTGATATGTTCAACAAATCACTTTCAGAGGAGAGTGTTCCCACCTGCTTCAAGACAGCTACCATTGTTCCTGTACCTAAACAGTCTGCAGTGTCCAGGCTAAATGACTACCACCCTGTGGCATGAAGTGCTTTGAGAAACTGGTTCTCCAGCTCATCAAAAACAACATCCCAGCCAGCCTGGATCCTCACCAGTTTGCATACAGAGCCAACAGATCCACAGAGGATGCTGTCTCCACTGATCTCCACTCGGCTCTCACTCATCTTTCAGCGCTTCATTGGAAAACCTTAATAGTAGCTTTGAATTAAAAAATGTAATTTGGTACAGCCCTAAAAAATGAATACACTGAAAACATCTTACTTCTGAACATATACAGTATTTTTTTGAAAATAGCAGAATGTTGATTTAGCAGTAGGCTAATTATTATTAATATAGTTTTTGTTAAGGCATGATGTAAATATTAAGTATTTATTTTTGTGATTGTATATCATAAAATCTGTAATGATTTAATGCTCTAGTATTCATTTCAAAGGCTTCATGATGAAGTAGTGAAACATCAGTGCTCTTGTTTTGCTTTCAGGGCTGCCTGCTGAGTCTGCTAGTGTGTGGTCCTTGGAGAAAATAAAGGCTTACTTCAGTGTGATTAAACGCTTGCAGCCGCAGCTGTCTGAGGAGGCCAACATCATCTTGACACGTTACTACCAGCTGCAGAGACAGAGTGATGGTCGCAACGCTGCCCGCACCACCATCCGCATGCTGGAGAGTCTAAGCAGACTGGCTGAAGGTGAGGAGGGAACTTTAACTTAATCTCAATTTAATGAATCATCATAAGTTAGTTGACCTTAGCCTTTGAAGCTGATTGATTGACTGTGGTCCGTTCTCATACTTACCAAATGATGGACCCCTAAAGTGCAATTTTAATATAGATATAGAAAATAAACGGATATGAGTTTGCCCTCTGGTAGGAATGTTGACTCTACTGTGCTGACTGGTAGATCCTACTCTCTATTAACGATGACTAATAGGCTGCTCTAGCATTACAGAGGGCCTTCTTATATATCTTAAGACTGTCAATTCTTCCAAATTGGTGGAACGACATGTTCTTTCAAATTTTCGCGATGTTTGCTTTAATTTGCGGGTTTGAGGGTTATACCATGGAGCGAACCTCCTTTGATTTATTATCTTCTTTTTTAGAGGAGCAATAGAGTTGAGTGTCACTCTCAGTGAGCCTGTAGCACTATCGACACAATCATCAACCTGGGACGGACTAAAGTTATCAGAGGAGTTCTCTGTTATACTAAGACATGGTATTGAGTTAAATACAGATGGAATTGCTTCTTTAAATTGAGCTACATCACCATCAGATAGACATGTGGTGTTGAAACTTTTCCCTAATGGTACACTCCGGTAGTAAGAATTCAAAAGTTATTACGTAATGGCAGTGGCGAGCCGTGCATTTTATACCTGGGCCTGCACTCGTAAAAATGAAGCGCAACACCGACAAATACACTGAGTGCAGATACATGAATACCCGCATGACGGGATGCGGCGGCATTAACGAACAATGCATATAGTCAAAATCAATTCAGCTAAAACACGCATTCCGCCACACACTCAAGAGCACAGACCATTCAAATATTATTCATATCAGAGGGAACAATATTACCCATATCATGAAAACGACACGATAGACAAATGAACAGAGTAGTAACCCCTATCACTCCCTCCAGGAAACACACGACTCCGTAGTTCTTGTTACTGACGGATTTATTCGTCTGTCAACACCGAGAGGGAAAATGAGTCCACTTGAAAACACATGAATCTTCAAAGTAGATCACTTAAACACTTAAACTTAACTTTAACACTTTGCTGTCGCTTCGCGCGTCTTCTTGTTGCTGTGCACCGGCTAAATGTGTCCCCAGCGTAACATAGGACGTAACAATAGTTCCTATCACATATAAAACCAAACGAAAATCCATATTCATAAAAACAAGTTGTACAAATAATAACATACTGTATATTAAAGCTGCAAGCAGCATTGATCGGGCCCTCGCAACTTCACGCACGTCGAGGGTACTGGCAGGACTCTGGATGACGCGGCCATGCATTTCTGTGACCATCATACACAGCGCCTGGAAATTGCAAAAACGACACTAGAAATTCATACAAAATTCAAAATGGCTGACTTCCGGTTGGGTTTAGGGCATGGATCCTGGAGACTTTTTTTTAAGTCCAAATGTAGTTTATGAGCCTTCCAAATTTTATACATTTATGTGAAACGTACTGCGAGGGCTGCTTCGTCGAAATCTTGTAGGGGGCGCTATTGAGCTTATTTGTCCCTCTGAACCAATAAAATCATATTATATAACTGCATTTTGGGCTTGAAATCTGTGTGCCAAGTTTGCTTATGTTTCAAGCATTTTTAGCCTGTCAAAATTACCTTCGTTTTTCAACGGCGTTTGACGAAACATCAAAAGCTTCATGAACTGGCATTATGAACTTCTTACATTTGTGTGGAACTAGCTTGATGTTGATCTGATGTACCTACTAAGAGAAACAAGCCAAAGTATAAAGACTTTAACTGACTGTTACCAGTAGGTGGCACTATGACTATGATTCAAAATTGGCCTGCAAATGTCTTCAGGCCTGGAGTCTAATCAAAGATGTGAAATCTGGTAAAGATCTGATGATGTGGAGTTGAGTTACATCAGTTTATTTCTTCATGGCGAAGGATGGAAATTCGCCGAGCCGCCACGTCGCCGCCCTTCGACAACTTCTTACGATCTACAATCACAATGAAGCATTATCAAGGTCTTAAGTATGATAATAATAATAATAATAATAACAAACATTAGAATAATAACAGGTCCTCCGCTGCGACTACGTCGGTGCTCGGGCCCTAAATATAAACAAGCATATTAAATAATGACATGAATAATATTTCTCGAAGTTAAAGCTACTCCAGTTAACTTACCAGAGCTGTTGTTCACTATTTAAAGACAAAGTCCATCCTCCTTTCTTTGTTAACAAAGAGTTTAATCCCACGGTTGTTCAGTACATCCGTGCGTTTTAGTTCCAGTAAGAAGTCCTTCTCGATTCATGGACGCCAGTGAAGACAGTCGAGCCTCCCCAGTTATATTTCTTGAATACGTTTTAATGCGTTTGAGGGCTGAAAATATCCGCTCCACAGAGGCAGCAGATATTGGGATTATCACCGCCCAACATGTCAGGCTAGCCCACTGACCAATCACATATGTCTAGGCCAGCTAGCAGGCTCTGGCACGTCAAAGAATACGCCCAACATGTCAAACTAAAGATCGGATTGGTTGAAGACTATGACGATCAACAATATCGTCCCCATTCACTTAAACTGCAAAGGGATGCACGTGTGAGTCTGCAGGCCTCGGGCCTCTCTTCTTACCTAGAGACACAGAGGTGAAATCTGATTGGATAAAAGCTCTACTTAAAACAAGCTGCACTGGAAGCAGAGCAACTGAGGAAGACAGTAGCTTTGCAATGAGAAAATAAGATAATGGGAAAAATAATTTTATAAATTATAATACATGTAGTGTATTTAAGAAAAATTATTAAATTATAAAATAGATATAACTTTGTGATTCAGTTTAGGCCAGCAGAGAAGGCTTTGCAGGCCCTGACGGCCCACCACTGCGTAATGGTCCGATAAAAGAGGGTTCTGTGGAAAGACTTAAATGTTAAAACATGTTAAATGTTAAATGTTGGGTGTGGTTAAAACAGTGAGTGGGTTTCTGTACACTCTGACAGAAGCTAATGAAATCTAATAATGAGATAAACTTTCTTTAAATGTAATAGCAAACATTGTCTTAGGGCAAGCCACAATGTGAATAAATTGAGTTGTGTATGAATAGCTGAAAGCAGCAGAACTTTCTGCCACTCACAGGTTTTTTTTTTTTTTTAACCTTGCAGCCCATGCCAGGCTCATGTACAGAGAGATGGTGACCATAGAGGATGCTGTCATGGCTGTCTCTGTCATGGAGTGCTCCATGCAGGTAAGATGAAAACAAAATGACCTTCTTTGCTACAAGAATATTGATCACAAAAATGAGTTTACCCGTGTCTTTCTGTTTCTTAATATTGGTGTTGTAACTTACAATGCCAGTGATGTATTTTGTCCATTATGGAACAATGTTCAGTTTTCATTTGACAAAGACACAAAGATGGACAATAGTAATATATACTGTATACTTAACAACATTTTTAAATGGTATGAAAATAAACTTCCCTTTGTACTCTCTTTACTGTGTTGTAGATGTAATTTGAAATGGAAAAAAATGCTGGTTTTGCCCATCAGTCTACACTTAATAACACATAATGATAAACAAAAAAACTAGAAATGTTTACACATTTATTAAATTATCAAAAAATGGCTACTTGAATTTCATTAAACAGATTGGTGATATTTATTAACTGTGCTGAAAATCTGTGCCAACAAAGACTGGAGACAGCACAGCTTATTCTGTCATCTGACGCATCAGCATACAGTACAGTTTCAGTGTCTAACCAGCCCTCAGATACAAGCAGTAAGGCTCTCACCAGCTGCTCGGAGAAATCTCTTCAACAAATCCTAACATTACAATCAGTGTTGCATCAACAACAAAATAAATAGACAGTAAGAGTTTGTATGTCCTGTTGCGTTTTTATGGTGCTGAGACAGGTTGAAAACTAGGGAGTCAATGCAATATCAGCTTTATGGCTGCTGCAACCATTGTCTACTGCAGCAGTACTCATTTATTATTTTCATATCTGTTATTTTTGTTATCTGTTATCTATTTAAATAGATTTCCCTGTTGCCCATTTTGACATTTTTAGATAGACACAATAATAAAGTATTTATCTATCTATGACCTTGTGAAATTAGAGTTTACATGAATCTTTATGCAACTTTATATGTAATAAATTGAGATTATTCATCTGGTGCAGTCCCTTTATGACGCAGTGAGACAATTCCCCACACATTGTACTGCTTTGGGACTCAATGCATCCAGATAGTGGCCTGGTTGAAAGTCACTGCGATGTTCAGGATACATCACAGAGTGACAGCTTATTCTTTAAGCTCAGCAGAAATATTGAATTGATTAATGTTCAACAAATTATTGTGATACATTTTGACATTGACCCTAGTGACTATTAACCATTTGGCCCATTTTCCACCATAATGCTGCAGCCTGTGATCTTGTGGCAGTCTGTAACTATGCGGTGCATTCATCTTTCAGGGCGGCGCTCTGCTGGGGAATGTGAATGCATTACTCACCTCATTCCCTGACGACCCCTGTCAGCAGTATCAGATTCAGTGTCAGATGTTACTGGATGGGCTGAACCTTCCACTGCTCCTTCAGAAAGAGATGGACAGACAGGCCAGGTGAGTAACTGATGGCTTTTGTTGAGTCTCAGTCAAGTATTGCCTCCCACGTTTCAGCTACACATCTCAGTCCACTCCAGCGTTTTAGCACTTATTCAGAAATAATCTCCATCTAGGCTAAAAACCCCTGAAAATGCATATCGCATGATCACGTACACTGGGCATGAGCATGCTGGTATCTACCCTGCAGAGGGTTGCTTAGTTGCAGAAAATACTCAGGAGGAACAACAGCAATGGTGTAAAGTAAGCCCAGAGCTTTCTTTGCTTGGACTGACGATGTTACTGACAGTAACACGAGTATAAGGCGGTAAAGGCGACGGAAAACATAGATTGGGAGTTCTTGCAAAAGGTCGCGTGATGGGGTCGTGAAGAATCGGGGAAGGACACGCCATGACTAATAACTTACATTTAGAAATTATAATACACTACATGTATTATAATTTATAAAATTATTTTCCCCATTATCTTATTTTCTCATTGCACAGCTACTGTCTTCCTCAGTTGCTCTGCTTCCAGTGCAGCTTGTTTTAAGTCGAGGTGAAATCTGATTGGATAAAAGCTCTGTGTCTCTAGGTAAGAAGAGAGGCCCGAGGCCTGCAGACTCACAAGTGAATCCCTTTGCAGTTTAAGTGAATGGGGACGATATTGTTGATTGTCATGGTGTTCAACCAATCAGATCTTTAGTTTGACATGTTGGGTGTATTCTTTGACATGTCAGAGCCTGCTAGCTGGCCTACAAGTACGTCAGCATTATGTGCAGCTCAGTTTCCAGGTGCAGCGCTGCAGTGAGGAGCGTGTGCTGTGATTGGTCAGTGGGCAAGCACGTGACTATTGTGAAACGAAACCTAACATCAGAGGCTTAGTCGGAGTAGTGAGAGTTCAAATTGAAAGATATGGAACAAATTATGACATTTTTTGCATTTTGCTTGGTGTAGATTATTTTCTTTTTTACCTAGCTTTGTTTTTTTAACACTCAATGGCTGAAGGAGGAGAAACGGATTTGTGAGTTGGATTTAACCGTGGGATGAAACTCTTTGTCAACAAAGAAAGGAGCATGGAGTTTGTTTTTAAGTGAACAGCATTTGGTAAGTCAACTGCGTTTGTTTTTTTACATCTAATATCTGAATGGCCCGTGCCCTCGAGTGTGTAGCAGAATGCGTGTTGCTGCTGTTGTTTTCCTGTTAAGCTAGTTAGCGTAGCCTCCCAGAACACTTGCGGAGCACCAGCTGTTTTTTGTTGTTCCGGTTCAGAGGTCACAGCCCGTTGTCTCCTACGTGAGCGCAGAAAACATTATATTTCCCACAATTTAAGCTTCTGCATTTTCCAAATGCACCAGTATTATTCAAACGTATTGTTCGGTTTGTAAGCCTCGTACCGAACGGTTTAACGAATACGTGATGTTACAGCCCTAGAAACGAATAATAACCGTAGCTGTGGCGCCATCATGAGGTTATTAGGTGGTATTTCAGCTGCAGGAGAGCAGTGAAGGCCCAGGTATAAAATGCACGGCCTGCCACTGGGTGTGTAACAATACCTGTATTCATTGGCGGCTGGTGGAAAAATTTCTAGGTAGGGCCATCCTATCAATTTCAGCAAACATCCCAGTATCATTTAATGCAAATCGTATGAAACACGCATTACTATTTTGCAGTTAAATATTTAACATTTATTCCAACACGAAAAAAAGCAGTAAATAACACTTTGATAAACACGTCAGGACATCATATTTTTGTCACCCTCACAGGCAATTCAGTATAATATATACAGTATAATATATCATATAATATTCAGTATAATATAAAACGCACACATACATATATATAGATATTTAGATATATATATACACAGTATATATCTAAATATAAAATATTATATAACATGTTTATTTATTGAGATGCCCCTATGGACCTTGTTATAGGAGGTAAAGATCAGGAGAAGTAAACATGAAGGAATTAGGAATACTGATGTTAAATTAAGCTATGATGAGTTTTCACTGTTAATTTACCATCTCAATTAAATGTTGATGCCTCCATGACCAAATTAAGCAGATGAGACTGAGGACAACTATGTAGAAGAAAAGATGTTCATTTTGCCTAATATGTAGCTTGACAGAGTTCTCCATGTGTGCCCTGGTCTCATGTTTCCTTACTTCCTCCTCCCTCACTCCCTAACTGTCCATGTTGGATCTGTCCCCGTTGTTTTAAAAAGCTAAATAAGTTATTAGCATGATGTCATCCAGCTAGCCAAACCTGTCTGGTGTACAGCTACTAGAGAAGCATCGCATGTACTGCTTCCCTTTCCCACTAGTCTGCTGTCTGATTGTGAGGTCAGGCTGATCTGATATCAGCTCTTTGGCCTGCAGAATCTCTGCCAAAGTTCTCCTCTCAAACGGGTCTTGGAGGAGTAGTGCTCGCGCTGGCGCTCGCGCTCGCCTGTAGAGACTTCTGACGAGAACGCGCAGCTTTGGGCCAAATTGGTTTGGCCCCAAGCTGAATCTATTTGAGGGCGCTGATTGGCTAAATTGTATGTCACTCATTTATATCTTTAATCAGCAATTGGCTAAACTGCTTCATAGACCCGCCTCTTTTGGGCCAAATTCGTTTGGCCCCTAGCTGCGCGTTCTGAGACGTGTTGTGCACACAGGCGGAGAGGACAAGCAGGAAAAGCATATATTTTGTGCAGATATCATATTTTACACATATTACTGGGTACATTCCATGGTTCAGAAACACAAATATTGACAATTTGTATAATTTATTATTATTATAATTATTTTTATTTTTTTTGTGTGGCACAAGGTGCTCATGGCCCTCTATTGGCCAGCCGCCATTGCCTGTATTTGATTTTTTGTTTGGTACAGGAGGTTCTCTTCGTATTCGCCATCCTTTCGGTATGACAAGTGACACAAACTGCTGTTTCTATCTACTACTCGCTCATGTGGAACGGAAATTCTGGAGTGCGAGTTTTACCCGGAAAGTTTTGGCAGCGCACCAGTTGTTGTGTAAGCTGTCTCAATTCAGGGGCTGCATCCTTCGAAGGCGCATTCGTAGACCGGTTACGTCACAGCGCTGCGACTAGGCTGTCCCAATTCGCATGTTTGTTGAAGACTCCTTCAAATGCAGCCGACGAATGCGGGGGGGGGGGGGGGCGGGGTAACAGCTGTTGACGCAAACAGGAAGTCCTCTGTGGCGTAGGCCGTCTCATTTCGGAGACCGCACGGTCTAGCCTTCGCGGTCCTCAAAGGACGCGGCCCTCGTAGACCGCGAAGGCTGGGTCCTCCGAAGGATGCAGACCCTGAATTGAGACACAGCTGTAGCGGCGCTGTAGTCAGCTGTAGCGGCGCTGTAGCGGCGCTGTAGCATGGTAGTTGGCTTAGCCCCGTTAGCTGGGTTAATCATGGTCTATGATTTGTTTCAAACTGTAAACCGACGGTTAAACTAAAGTCAGGTTTATCTGTGGTGACACTTCACACGTTTAATTTACGGCGGCATCACCAGGATGTGTCGATTAGTGGAACGAAACAAAAACTGAGTGGACAGGGAGTCCTCTCCACGTTCAGACAGCCTCCCACTATAGATTCAGACCAAGCCAAAGTAACTCATGCTAGAGTATCGCTGTTTATATGTGATCATAGACGATACAGATTTAAAAGGATGAGTGCTTACGCCCTGCTACAATGTGAGTTCACATGTGCATTTAGTCAGTCTGTTGTCTTAATCTGTATAAATGGGTATAAGCTATAGCCAAGAGTCCGATGATGGAGCATTGTAGAAGCAGAAATACTTAACACTTTTCAAAAGACTTTGTTTTCCGTATTGTACCAAAAATGTACCAAACTGTGACCCAAAATCTGAGGTATATACCAAACAGTGAATATTGTGTACTGTTATACCCCTACTGACAACAATCAGGAGTGAGTCCAGAATACGTAATCACAGAGTTTTCAGAAGTCTCCCCTTCAGGGGTTCTAAAATGCAGAGCAGTGTGGACTCTAGGTGTAAAGCAAAAGTTCTCATTTTTAAAAAAAATTTCTTCCATAATTGTCAACAAATCGCATAAAGGGATCAATGAACCTCCTAATCCTACCACGTATTGTCCATGTAACCAGATCTATGCAACCAAAATACTGTTTTTAAGACCATCAATACTGGGATGGACATTGCCAGGGTACTTTATTTGTCCCATCTTGTGGTTGTATTTTCTCTCAATACTTCCACAGCAACCTGTGTTTGTGCACAGTTGCATCGTCATCTCTAATGTTTTTAAGTAGGTTTTGTATCACCATGGAGTTGATAGACACATAATTGTACATGGATCAGGGTTTCTAAAGCTTTAGACATCACCAAAGGAGTTCATCTGCATTTTCTTTGTTCAATAGGCTGAAGAGCAAGGCCTCCCGCATTGACCCACCAACTGATCATTACCAACATCAACTCAGAGACACAAACTCCATCAACAAAACACACTGCCATGACATCACCAGTAACAAGAGTGATGACAGTGGCTTGGACTGGTTCCACTCCATCACTTCATTACTGTCCCCAGATGGTATAGCCTCGTCCATAACTACATCAACTCCAGAAAACTTCAATAGAAAACCAAACTGCAGTTGGTCAGACATGTCTACAGCAACTAAACTGCCAAGCTCTCCAACTGAAAAGGACATTCTAAGTAACACTAGCCCATCATTAAACCACGATGTCATTTCAAATCCGTTTGGAACAAGTGCCTCTACTTCACAAGAAGAAAATATTAAAGAAAGAAGCTCCATAATCCAAATGCAGATGATGCAGAACGATAAAAAACATCCAGAGTCCTTGGGGTGTGTGTTTCAGAGAGTCTCAAAGAATCTGAGACACAGAAGAGGAGACCTGGAGCTGAATCATCCGCATGGAGAGAGGGTGCTGTCTGGAGATGCAAGTAAAGATGTGACTGATGTTTTAGATTCCCACACTAGCAGCTTATTGTCTTCAGCTAAGAAGAGCCTTTCAAATAACCTAGTTCAGGGTAACTTGTCTCCTGGCAAAGAAACTAGATTTGAGAAGGAGGACAAGAAGGACCAGACTGAAGCTAAGAACATCAGTACTGTACTAAAGGAAAAGATGGCAGCTGAAGCTGAAACGGGTAAAGAGCTGCATGCAAAGTTGTCAAGCTTTATATTCAAACCAAGGAAGATGAGGCCTTCAGTCAATAACCACAGCCTTAATGCCAGCTCAGCCGTCAGTGCAGAGTTCCAAACTCATTGTAACTCGGGCAGCAGAGATCCTCACACCTACACAGAAAACAGAATGAGTGAGCCGAAGCCAATTAGTCATGATGACTCAGCTGACCCACCTACAGATATGGAGAGAAAGAAAAGGCAGAACCAGTACCTAAATCTTTCGGAAGGCGAAAACAGGATAATACAGGTGAGATGTGTCAGTGAGGTGGGAGGGAAAAGATCTGAAGCCACATCTCAAGGAAAAACTGTGTGTCAAGAACAAAGACCCAGAGTCAACACCAGTGAGGAGACTAAAGTAAAGCCAAACACTTTCGTCATTGATACAGCATTTTCCAAATCAGGCCACACTATGTCCACTGTGGCCTCTTCTACCCTGGCTAAACTCTCAAGATTCTCATTTCCCTGCACAGCTGAAGTCGAAACAGATCCTGCTACTGAAGTGGAAAAAAGGCCACTTCAAATTGATGGTGCTAGACACTTAACTAAAGATGCTCAAGAGCAAATTTTAAAGAGCAAAGTAAAGGATACAGAGCTCGCACCAGGACAGGGACATGAACAAGGGACAGAGTCACCAACTAAAACAATATCTAAATGCAAAGCACAGCCTTCTCATGCTTCAAACCAAAGAACGAGTGTAGACATGGCAAATGATGGTCCTGTTGCCAATCAAAGTAGTGGCAATCTGAAGAAGAGAAAGTGTTTTGAGCTGAGCCCTCCACCAAGTAGTGTTCATGCTTCCAAGGGTCCGTTCTCAGTACTGTCTCTGTTTGACTCTGCTGAGTTAAGTAATGATGTTCTTGAAACTGACTGGGACCAAGAGGTTTCAAAGAAAGCCAAAATGTGAAACCATAGGCTACTGTCACAATGTGTATGTGGACAACAATGCAATCACGTTTTGCTGTGTGGCTCATCAATTAAATTTTTTTCCTGATGTATGATTTAGTTACCTTCTGTAGTCTGGAAATAAACCTGTTCAATCGTTCGAATAGTTCAGGTGGAATTGTGTTTTCTTCTGCGTCCTCTTATAGCTGAAAAGGCTGGAGGGACTGAGCTATAATAGCAGTGGAGCTCAGGCAAATTAATTATCTGCGTGGTCACTAATAGGCGGACCGAGGTCAGAGTCCAGACCCAGATGCCGTTGTATCTGGACCCTGGACTTGTAGCAGATAGATAATTGAGAATCATGACATTTTCACGGAGCGCTTCTATTTTAACTGGCGCAGCTTTTCTAGACTTTACGGCACTCGTTCAGCGGTCCAGGAAACACACCAACCAGTTACTGAATATGCGTAGCAAACCATCTCACGTGATGCTGCTCGTCCAATCATATGTGTGTATTCAGATAAGCATCGCCCTTGACTCGAGTGCGATATTTGCGCACACGGGAGAGACGGGGAAAAAGTATGTGCGTCAGAGAAGTTATTAACGTGCTCGAAAAAGAGAAATGTGGAACGTTTAACCAAAGCCTTTAACCAAGAATGGACAGACTCTTATATGTTAATTATTCATACAACCAGTTCAAAACCAGTATGTCTCATGTGTTCAAAGACAGAGAAAACTCTGCCTCCTATTTGTCAAGTAGCTTTCCATCCATTTTAATGCAGTAATGGTGAAGCCATACTGTTTTAGCTTATCTAAAAACAAAGAATGATCTATATCAGGGGTATTCAATTACTATTCAACGAGGTACAGTTAGAGAATTTCCTCATCAAAGGTCCGGAACATCACAATAATGTCTAATTTGCGCAATGATTTAGTCCCATATACTGTATATTGAAGTAGCCAACAGTTGTATTAACGTCTGTATGTAGTCAACAACTGACTGTCAAATACAATAAAGAAAGTTCAATTGAATAATATCTAAACAATATTTATTAGTACAGATTTCAAATTGAACTGTATAAATTATAAATAATAATCTCTAAATTTAATAAGTAAAATAAGGGCTGGATTTAAAAAATATATACATAACAGAAAGCTTTTGAAAAAAGTAGCTCTTAAAATAAAGTACTTTAGAAAAGTTTATTTAACTAAATTGTCCTGCAGCTTTAAATTCAGTTCATTCAGGTGTAAAGAGATGTCAATAAAAAAAACAGCACCCACTAACTTCCTTTATCAAGCTCACTTTGCCAATCATCTGTTATTTGCATCTGAACTGTGCATGTTGATAATCTGTGTTCAAGTTATTGACATCAGAATAATAATTCTCTCCATTACCTTTCACAAAGCTGGTAACAAATGTATAGGGCAGCTATGTGCCAGAAAATGGTGCAGCTAGATGTTTTACAAGGAGAATAATGTTTATCTTCAATGCCTGCGGATAAATTTGTTTTATCAAAACGCAAATTTATAATATGACAGACAGCACAAGCAGTTAAATTGGCAGCAATTAAACTTAGAAACTTTATTATCATTGTCATTACACATTGTACATATACGTACGTATATGAAATTTTGCCTCTGCATTTCACCGATCCTTAACATGTTGGGAGCAGTGGGTTGCTGAGAAGTTAGGGTTAGGGTTCTGTTAGGGTTCTGTGACTTGCTCAGGGACACTTTGGCACAGGACACGTAGCAGCCAAGGATCAAACCGCCAACCTTGCGGTTACCGTCCGCCCCTCTCTACCCAATGAGCCACAGCCGCCCCCATGTTCAATATGGGATGAAGGTTAAAATTGTGTAAGACTAGTTTAGTTATTTGAAAACATGGATAAACTTTGGCTGTAGTGTCATCATGAAGTTATTATTGTAGTCCAAAGCCCCCCTTTGGACCCCTTAGTGGCTCACTATGAAGCGACTGCTATGAGATAGACTGGGAAATGTAGAATTGATAAATGTTAACGAAAGATGTAACGAAATAACAATATAACTAATATGAAGTTAGGTTGATAGTTGGGCAACAACCTGAAATTCAGTGAGGGTTCCGGGACAGAGGATGCCGTATGTGTACAGATTTTAAAGCCCTCTGAGGCAAATTTGTGATTTTGGGCTCTACAAAAATCAATTAAATTGAATTGAAATTTACCTTAATGGCATCATGGGTTGTTGGCTATAAATAATTGAGCAATTCCAAGTGGTCCAATGTCTTTGTTTTTTAAATATTCATGGTAAATGAAGAGGAATTAAGTGAGGTTCTCATGTAGATTTTACTTCCTGTGAAAATGAATTTGAGGTAGTGTCAAGTAATGAGGCAAACTCGCAGGAAACAGTCTCTTAACTTAAGCTCGTGGCCCAGAAGACCTTCTCTTAACAAAAAGGCTCATGTCCAAGGAGACAGTTTCTTAGTATAAAGGCTTTTGGTGCAGGAGACAGTCTTTTACCTTAAATGCTCGTGTCCCAGGTCTGTCTATGTGGCTCCTGGCATTAAACGTTTGGACACGCTTAACAGCAAAGCCAAAGAATGTTTTACTTATTTACAATCAATATTTAAATGTAATAACAGTGATTTACGTCTGTGTTAGATAGCAGTGGAAAGAGTGTGATCATTTTCTGGCTGCAGATTGCAGCCAACAGAAATTCTTCAGTGTCTCAAGCGTGTAGAAGTACGGTAGTCTTCAGGTGACGTAAAAACGTGAAAGCTCTTTCTCGAGCCAGTGTTTGGTTTGTCCGTTCTTGGCTACTGTAGAAACATGGCAGTGCAATGTGGTGGACTACGTGAAGAGGACCTGCTCCCTATGTGAATATGAAATGCTCATTCTAAGGTCACAAAAACATTCTTAGTTTCAGGTCATTATACACTTACTTATTTTATATTCTATTACTGCCAATATATCCCCCTAAATGCTACACACTGAGCCTTTTTAAAACCAAACAATATAAATGAAGTTGTATTTCTCCTTGTAGAATAGCTTTCTGTGTCTTTAAGACATTTTTGGGGAGTTTTGAATGTAAGAAAGCAGCATATGGTCATCATCCAACTAAGCTTCCTAAGGGGCACGCCCAACATGCATGTAAGGAGGAAGTGTGTCAAAGTGACCCTGAGCCAGAGCTCCAGCCACAATATGCAGAGATTACCTAATAAATGACCTAGAAATTCTGTGCTTTGGTTCATCTTAGCCATTAACTCAACAGATGCACATCGATCCAATTTACATTCAAAATCCAGACAACTCTTTTTTTTTTTCTTTTTTTTTTTTAACTTAAGTTTCAACTCCACATTCAGTATTCTTGAATCAGATAATGTCATGTTCATATCAACCACAGAATGTAGAATTTGATACATAGGGTTTAATACAATCTATCCTAAAACATATGATGTATTACTGTTGGTACAGTATACAAGAAACATGTAGTACTTAACTCAATATTTATGTGTAACAACCTTGAAGCGAGGCGAGAGCAAGGTACCTCACAGACTGACTCAGCTGAACAGCTCTGCTCACAGTCCTTGAGCAAAGTTCAACTCCCTCAGTTCAATTGTGGTTTGGTTTGTTGAGCCACTGCTCTTTCACTTCTCCTTCATCTTTGAGATCATCAGGTGGAACATCTCCATGATGTTGAGCATCACAGAGAGGAAGGCCATCGCCAACATAAAGACAATGAAGATATTTTTTTCTGTGGGACGACTTATGAAGCAGTCTACCGGGGCCGTACAGGGGTAGTCGGGAAATGAAATCTTACTGGGCATCATTATGAAGCCATACAGGAAGTACTGGCCTACAATGAATGCCACTTCCAGCAGGATCTTGAATAGCAGCTGCGTCATGTAGCTGACCAGCAGGATGCCCTTGAGCTCTACTTTGCCATGTTCATCTGAATACTTTGGAGCTTTAATCTTCCCATTTTTACCCAGTTTCTGCTCCAAGCGTCTCCTCAGCTTGTTTTCTCTGCGAATCACTAACAGGACATGGCCCAGATACATGAGTGTTGGAGTGGACACCATGAGGATTTGGAGGACCCAGAAGCGTGTGTGAGACATGGGGAAGGATTGATCATAGCAGGCGTTCCTGCAGCCAGGGCTTTTGGTGTTACAGTCCATGTTTTCCTGTTCATCTCCCCATATTTCATCTACACCAGCAGCTAGGATGAAGATCCTGAAGAGGAAGAGAACACTCATCCAGACCTTCCCCACAACAGTGGAGTGTGACTGCACCTTGTCCAACAAATCAGAAAGGAAGGACCACTGCCCCATGATGACTACGAGAGAGAAGACAAAGAGACAGATGATGATGAAGAGCAATGGTTTCATGTCAAGTCAGCATGAACCAACCTTACTTGTGCAGAATATTTTATACACACAACAGTTCAAAGAGGATTTTGAGACAAGACATGGCAGAATTACAACACAAATGATACGTGCAATACAGTCCACACTTACCAACTGTCTTTCTATGAACAGGTGAGTCAATGTAACTCTGTAGGTTTCACACAGTCTTGCTATTCCATCAGGAAGGACGTGCAAATTAGTTTGGACAAGATATTGTCATTAATTGATAAGTTATGGACAAAAGAAGAAATTGATATGGTCAGGTCATATTGTAGAAACATGTATTACTGATGCCAATTGTGATTTTAAAGAATTCTAAAAGTAAAGTAAGGTTTTTGGAATGTGATTCTCGCATTCAGGAAATTTGAATGTGCTTGTGTTTAGTCTTATAAATCAAAGCAGCAGTACCTCTGAATAAAGTCCAACAAAAATCCTGTTACAGAAGTTTGCTAGATAAATAGAAAACAAAAAAGGTCAAATAGGTTACAAGAGACCACAAAAGACAGAAAAAGATATTCTATGTATGCGTTTCATTTCCATTCTGTTGTGAGAGGGCAACTGCTTTGGTCCAGGTTTACTTCCAGTCAGCTACTGCATTAACAGACATTGCAACAGGAAATTCAAAGGGCCCGTGTATTGGATGGACTCATTACAGAATAGGATAATTCTATATGCAATTTGTCAGTTGCATATGATTCGAAATGTGTTTTTCCATAATGCCAGAGTATATTTTTATTCTCAAAAATTTTTGAAACCAGCACAAGACTCCTGAAGGCTGTGAAATATAAGCAAATAACTGCATCATGTTTTTCACATTTTAATCTGTCAATAATTAACATGGCATTTGAACAATATTAACACTAACTTGACATCAACAAAACTGTTCCTACCTCAGGAATGACTAGTGTCTTGTTCAGTCAGCCCCTGCACAGTGACTGGGATTCTCTCACTTCCCTCTTATATTTCAGCTGACATTGCAAAATCATTAGAATCCTCCTAAGCCACACTAACCCGCCCAGACTCCCTGACATGACTGCGTCACCCTGTAGTGTTGAAATGGACTGATGTTGAGAAATGACACCCCAGTACTGACACCAAATCAGCTGTTCCATGAATAACCCTCACTCCTCTCAACTGTCAATTACCCTTTAGCAACACTCTGAAGTTCAAGCTGCTACGAAACACTGTAGCCGAGGCTGGATGCATCAGTCGCAGACGGGGGCCCTGAAAGCTCCATACCTGCTGTTCATCAACTGGTTTGTTCAATTAAAATTAAATTTTGTTTGTATATGTACCATTAAAACACGTCAACTGACATGGAGTCCTAAAGGTAGGTCTTTGTCTCAAAGAGGGTCTTTTTCTCCAGGAAATGTGTAGTGTAAGTTTTAAATTAAATTAAAGCAAACTTGTTCTGAAATGAAGGTCCAAGAAGAGAGGATGTTGTATGCTGTACAGATTATAAAGTTCCTGAGGCTATACAAATAAATGTGGAGTGGTAGCCAGTGAATTTGTGAGCAGATGATGACAAGGATGAAGAGAAAGAGATACCCATTTTTAATTATGACTCTCTGGGAGCAGTGGCTGCTACTTCTGTAAGGAACAGTGTGGATGCAGAGTCGGAGCCAGATAATGTCAAAATCGCATTAATTCCGACTACATAGGACTACCACTACACTACACTTTGTATGTATGACTTTGTACATATCTGTGTCACATATGTACAAAATAAATCGGATTTGGGCCACTTCTGCCTACAGTTTGATCGTGACCTATAGTGTTCTATGTGCGTCTATGAAATGAACATAGGTGTACAGTCTGGGTGTAAGGCTTGTGACATACCCGTCAATCAAAGTGGGAGGAAAGGCAAAATATGACTTACAGAGATAATTAATGACAGAACAATGTGGTGTTAAAGGTCATCAATCCTTTATGGGAACTTGGCATGACTCATCAAAATTATCACGAGTTTGACCGAGTGAAACGAGAAGCTATGAGCAGCAGACTGAAGTGTACGGGAGTCAGTCAGACCAAACCAATATGCCTCAACAGCATTAATATCTGAAGCCTGACAGGTGAGTACATGTATGTTTCTCTCTGTCCTCTGTTGCTCTCCCAGAGGTTTCTTATTTTTTTTCCGTTAATGTTTTTTTTTTTGGAGAGGATGTTGTATGAGGTACATAGCCCTTTGAGGCTAATTTGTGTTTTGTGATATTGGGCTATACAAATAAAATCTAATTGAATTAATGTTTCTGCAAGCTATTGTGTCACAGGAGGTATTCAGTGTTACTTTAAGACAAACCAGTCGCAATTCTTACTTACTATTTCAAGTTTTTACTCTATGTATGTATATGTCGGTAGATTGTACTGTTTAGAAAGCGAAAGTTTTTGACATCTGGGCCTTTATTATTCAAACTGATAAAAGTGAAATTGGACTCAAACAACGAGTAAATGCCTAAATAAAATGAATTGTTGTATTTAACAGAGCTCAGGGACTCTCTTCAGTAGCCCATTTAGTCAATAAGAGGAGCAAGAATAAAATCACTGTAAATCAAATGGCTTATTGCCTTTATAAAAAGGATTATTATGTAAACTTGGCAAGCTATCATAAAATAAAGACACAGCAACAAGAAATGCAATTATTTATTAATAACAAATAACCATTCTTCCACCAAGCCATGCACTTATACATTAAACAGAAGGGTTGCCAAGCAACACACAGACACAGTGGAAAGTATGCTTACAGATTGGGGTGATTATTAACATTTATCTGGATTTTATCATTAATTGTGCAGTTATTGAAGTGGTGTTCAATCATGTTGGCACTCGTCTTTGCTGGTATATAGGGCTGTTTGTCTCAGATGGACCGGTGTGTTATATTTGTGCAGTGCCAGAAGCTCCAGCTTCTTCTCTGCTTACCTGCTATAACCATTCCCCTTTTTTCACAGTGCATAAAACTATAAGAGAGCCTGGTTCAGCTCCATTTAGGTGATTGTTTTAAAATCTTTGTTGGCACACCAGGTCTGAAATCAGTGAACGAACCACATAGTCTATTTAACGGTCCTGCTTAGTTTCTTCACTTTTCCAGCTTTTCAATTTCTTTCTCAGTGAGAAAGATTTATTTTTTATCTTCATCCTCTATGTTGTCCATCTCTTCCACGCTTTGCGCACCAAGTGAATCCAAATTCACAACAAATCTGACGTTTTGTGACGATCTGTTTGACGCAGTCAGTATTATACAACAACCTCGACTGCGGCTCAGCCAATCATAATCAAGGACCGGGACTTACGTAGATGGACAGAAACAAAGCCAAGCACACATGTTTTCGATTAACTGTACAATATATCATGGGTCACAATGTATCATTCAATCTGGTGATCTACAGGAGGAGCTCTTGTGCTGTACTATGATTCTAGGTATTACCTGTTTGTCACCCTCATCTAGCAGCAGCACATTTCCTCCATGTTTCACTTAGTTTTCTTATTATCATGAAAAAACAAAATGATATAGGCTTTTTCATTTTATTTATTTATTTTATTGCAAGACAAGAGACAATACATAAACATAACAACAAGAGGACGACAAGAACGGTGAGATACAAGCCAGCAAACATCATATAGACAGTGTATGGGAGAACGGTGTGATTTCGGAGTGTGTTTGTGTGTGCGTGCCTGAGCCTTTTGAAATGAAAGAAAAGACCATAAGAAAGTACATAAATGAAAGGGCAAATTGCATAAATTACAAAATAATAACATCTGTAAAAAAAAAATGTCGGGCAGTATCGCCCCGTCCACTGCCAGCAAAGCACGACCAGGGCACCGTCAGGGAGCTCCAGAACAGGACACTAGGATCAGTCAGGCCGGGTCAACCGAGTTAAATATTATTTAATTCATTTATTTCTTGTTTTTTTCATTGTTTTTATTTTATTTCATGAGACACTATATTTAATTATCTCTGGATTTAATGAGGTCTTATCTATATAGGAATTGCAGACACCTTGACAAATAAAAGATTAGAGTATTATGCTTTATCTTTGTACTGGTCTCATTAACTTTTCAATCCACAACTGTAAGTTTGATGTCTGCGTGTTTCTCCTCCACTTCAGACAGTAGCCTCCAGCCATGGGGGACTGGTCTTACATGTCGTCACTGCTAGACAAAGTCCAGTCTCACTCCACCGTGGTGGGGAAGATCTGGATGAGCATCCTCTTCCTGTTCAGGATCTTTGTCCTGGGTGCTGCTGCAGACAAAGTCTGGGAAGACGAAGTGACAGAGTTCTACTGTGACACCCAGGAACCAGGATGTAAACATGCCTGCTACAACTGGATGTTCCCAATATCCTATATTCACTACTGGGTCCTGCAGATCACCTTTGTGTCAACGCCCACCCTAGTCTACCTGGGCCATGCTGTACACATCATCCACAAAGAGAAGAAGATGCTGGAGAGGCTATGGGACAGCACTAATGGAACTGTACAGAGGAAGCCCAAGTATACAGATGATAGAGGGAAGGTGAAGATAACAGGCATCCTCTTCTGCACTTACATGACCCAGCTGATCTTCAAGATCATCCTGGAAGTGGGATTCAGTGTGGGCCAATTCTACATCTTTGGCCCTGTGTTCATGGTCCCCTACTTCCACTGTACCATGTCTCCACCTTGTGCCCGTTTAAGTGGTGCCCAGTGTTACATTTCCCGTCCCACAGAGAAAACTATTTTTGTCATCTTCATGCTTGTAGTTTCAGGCATTTCAGTGCTCCTCAACATCATGGAGATAATCTACCTGCTCTGTAACAAGAGGAGAGACACCAGGAATCTGCTTCAAACCCAGCAGCATGTGCTCAGGCCACAACAGTGCCCATCCAACCAAACATGGGGGGAATTGAGCAGCCTGTATGGAGGTACCACACTGTTGCCTCTAACAGGCCTCTGCAATGATGACAAACACATCGACTCTGTCAGTAAAGAGAAGGACACCTGATACATCACAATCATTATTGTGCTTCAAATCCAAAGCACATATTTGTCCTCACCTTACCTATAGTGTTTTTTATCAGACTGATTAGTGGTGCAACGGATCATAAAACTCACGGTTCAGATCGTATCATCGATCAGAGTCACTGGTCGGATCAGCACCAAAGAGAAAAGGGAGCAAATATAACTTTTAGAGATCCCTGATCAAGTTTTTTTGCCGCCTATACTAATTGCTGATATTTGATTATCTACATTGGCAGACACAGATCCCTTTCTTGTTTGGTTATTGCAGCTGGTCTACAAGCCTCCAGACAATTTTTGGCACGAACAGCACGCCCAAGCTGATCCCGCAAGTGTTCAATGGGGTTGAGGTCAGGACTGCTGGCAGGCCATTCCATCCTCTCCACTCCCAAATTCTGGAGGTCGTCTCTGATAAACCGCTCTGTTGGCATTGGCAGAGAAGATTTGGCAAATTTTTCATGGGCACAACCCACATACTCGGCTCTGCTGCTCATCCCACAAATGCATGTTCCTTACAAATGTGTCACCATTTAAAAGGGAAATAAACAGGCTTTCCAACGGAATAAGATTTATTGCCAAGAAGCATTGTTACAACAAAGAAATAATCTACCAAACACTAATTTCCTTACCTTTTTGTGCTATGTTTATATACATATATATAGTGACTAGTGTATCCCCCTTTGTGGTGATAGGGATGGCCCACATTTCCAATCATGCCTGCCTAATGCCTAGTGCTGGTATGAGTAATTTGTTAAGTTTGCTGTTTTATGTTCAAAAATGCAACTAATAATTTTGTTAGGTTTTGTAATGTCTAATGTGTCTGTTCAGAACATGGTTTCTTATATTAGTAATTGTCATTTTTGTACTCGTTAAAGTTTTAACCATGTGTTAGGTGGCTGTTACATTTCTTAAAAGAAGCTATACTGCACAATATAATTAATATTCAATACTGCATTACTTAATTTTCAAGATGTGTCACATAACCTAAACAATTGAGATATATATTTAATACTTTGTATAATCTTCCATTGGGATCAATTTAATTTAATATATGAGCTTATCAGATGCAATGGATTGCAGGGTCAATAATAGACTAGAGTGAAAAAATATTTAGTCATTGTTTTGGTGAAGGTTGTTGCAGTCACCCCATACATGAACTATGAGATGTTTGTACTGCCATTTTGAGTTACATTTTGCTGAAATAAATGTCCCTTTATCAAAAGGACTTATCATTATTCATTAGTTTACCAATTAACTCATCATTCTAACATCATTTAAATATATGTCTTAATTATCAGTAAATTATTTATAAACCAGTTGCTCTATAGGAGGGGTCACCAACCTTTTTGAAACTGAGAGCTACTTCAAGGTTACCAAGTAGTACGAAGGTCTACATGTTTGATACAAACTTCCTGAATGACAAAGTTGCACAGATCACCTTTTAATAATAATAATAATGTGTGAAGACACTGTCTGATCACATGTCAATGTTAATTATTCCTCACAATAATTATTAACAATGATTTCCACAACAATGATGGTAGGAAACAGATATATTTAAATATTTATTTCTGTTATTCTGTTTCAACATTTGAAAGTCAGAAGTATCACATCTCTGATATTTTAGTAAATATCGTTCTTGACAGTTTTGTATGAATAAGCACATTTGTAGCATTTGGTTCAAAATCACACCCGTTATATTTTTGTAAAAATTATCACTTCTAACATTTTTTATGAAATCATTAACTGTCATATTTTCAAATCATGTCTCGTTTGTACTAACCACTTTTGTAACATTTTTGAACAAATCATGATCAACAAATCAACTATGTCCCATGTTTATACAAATCATCAGTTATGAATATCCTGTGTTGTTTGGCTTTGGATCGGATGCCATTTATGATCTTCACAACAGGAGTCATCACATGATCAAAGCTGGTTACTTTTGCACATAGCGCCTGCTGGTGAATGATGCAGTGGCAATGTAGAAATTTTGGGAAGTCTGGGTCACTTTTACATTGCGCAATGAAGCCTGCATGCCGGCCCGTCATGGCGGGAGCCCCGTTTGTTGTCACCGACAATGGTACCCTTTTCTCCACGAAGAAACTAGTATCTTCGGGCGCCCGCGTTCAAACCTCTAGTCTGGGCCTTTTAAGTCGGATTGCGTTGCCTCGCCTCTACCTCCGCCACCCAAGAGTTGTTGCCCAGCGGCCTGTTCCGAGGACTGACGGACCTAACGACGGGGCGCGCTCGGGGTGCGCTCCGTCGCGACGGAAGTGGCCGCCATTCGGAACCTGAAAACCTAGTGCGGTATGGCAGCCTCTTCCTGGCTGTCCACCGTGCGCCTCCGGGTACCCAACTCTCTTACGACAAGAAATATTGTCATTTTAAAATCTATAATAATGCAAGCATTTTTGATTAAAAATGAACAGCAACTAAAATGTTTAGACGGAGCTCCATGATGACTAGTGCTATTTTTAGAACATGCTTGCTGGCGACTCACATGGTCCCTGCGGCGACTAGGTGCCCGCGGGCACCGTGTTGGCTACCTCTGTCTTAAGGACATAAAAACCTGGATAACCTGCAACTTCCTGATGTTAAACTCAGAAAAAACTGAAGTTATTCTACTAGGCCCAGAACACCTCCGAAATCAGTTATCTAATGATATAGTTTCTCTAGATGGCATTGCGCTGGCATCCAACAGCACCATAAAGAATCTTGGAGTTACCTTTGATCAGGATTTGTCTTTTAACTCTCAGATAAAACTAATTTCTAGGACTGCCTTTTTTCACCTACGTAATATTTCAAAAATCAGGCACATCCTGTCAAAGCGATGCAGAGAAATTAGTTCATGCATTTGTTACCTCTAGACTAGATTACTGCAATTCCTTATTTTCAGGCTGCTATAATAAGTCTCTTAAATCGCTCCAGTTGATTCAGAATGCTGCAGCTCGTGTACTTACAAGAACTAAGAAAAGAGATCATATTACTCCTGTATTAGCTTCTCTGCACTGGCTCCCCGTAAAATCTAGAATATAATTTAAAATCCTTTTACTTGCCTACAAAGCCCAAATTGGTCAGGCACCATCATATCTTAAAGAGCTTATAGTACCATACTGCCCTACTAGAGAGCTGTGCTCCATTAATTCAGGGTTACTTGTGGTTCCTAGAGTCTTAAAAAGTAGGATGGGAGCCAGAGCCTTCAGTTATCAAGCTCCTCTTCTGTGGAACCAGACTTTCCTTTTTGAGAGTGCTTATAGTTAGGGCTGGCTCAGGTTTGCCTTGGACCGGCCCTTAGACAAACTGGTATAGGCAAAAACTACAGGGGGACTTCCTTAGGATACACTGAGCAGCTCTCTCCTCCTCTTCTTCACCTCTGTCTGTATGAATTGATGTCCCGTTAATGCTCATTACTAACTTTACTTCTTCCCCGGAGTATTTGTGCTTTCTCGCCTCACAGGTTCCCATGACCGCAGTTTTATCTGGACACTGGTCCTTCAACCATCCATGGCCCTGCTGACACCTACTACGATCTTCATTATTAACATTATTAATCCTATTACCGATACCATTAATGCACAGTACTGACTTTGTCTCTTCCCCGGAGTCCTTGTGCTTTCTCTCCTCACAGGTTTCCATGGAGCATGGTTTCATCTGGACCCTGGTCCTTCCTCCTACCATGGCCCTGCTGACTCCAACTGCTAATATCACTTTTATTAATACTCACATTACTATTTCATATTACCGATACCATTAATGCACATTATTGACCTGCTTCTTCACCAGAGTGTCTGTACTTTCTCGCCTCACAGGTTCCTGTGTATCCGGGTTATAGCTGGACCAGGTCTTGCCTCCTGCCGTGGTTCTGTCATACATTGAATGTGTTGTAATTACATTGAATGTGTTGTAATTCACTTATCCTGTTCTACACATGACATCTATTGCACTTCTGTCCATCCTGGGAGAGGGATCCCTCCTCTGTTGCTCTCCCTAAGGTTTCTTCCTCTTTTCTTCCCGTTAAAGGGTTTTTTTGGGGGAGTTTTTCCTGTTCCGATGTGAGGGTCCCGGGACAAGAGGATGTCAAATGTGTACATATTGTAAAGCCCTCTGAGGCAAATTTGTAATTTGTGATTTTGGGCTATACAAAAATAAATTGAATTGAATTGAATATGAGCTTGGTTCTCTCCGACCGAGGTACAGTTGGCGAGGTTACAACCATGTTAATGTCTTGTATTAAACTTGATGAAGATAAGTTAAAGTTGAAATGAGCCATTAAATCCTTAAAACTCTTAACTAGCTAGCTAAAGACACCTCTGGTCGCGAGTCATAAGATAAGTCAGCTGCCAAAATCTTTCCGTCGGCACTGACGTTTCATAAAGTCGGAGGCTACTATCAGACTTTCAACGTCCCTTGATGACAGTACAGGAAATTTAATTTCTGTCTCACTCTGACATCCTTGTCGATGCACCCAAAGCTTAATTATGTTAACGTGGGCATAGCTATTGATAGCCTTGCCGCCATTGCCAGTCTGACTAACCAATTACAGAAATTATTATCTCATTTGATATTAACCACAATCACGTTAAATTAGCATCGGATGCTATCATTAGCCATTTTCTCCTGGCATCGATATGATTGGCAGAGACGTTGGGGTATTTCTTTACTATGATCTACTTCAGATTAAAATGACAATTTTTGCAGTAAATACCAATATTAGGGTTAATTTACAGAGGCAGGGTCCTATGTCTCCCAGGAGGAGGGACTTAATACACATTTGGTAAACAGTTTTCATCCACTGCAGCGCGTCCTTATTATTTGCAGAGGGAGTTCTCGTCCGCCATTGTTGTGGCTGTGTACGTCCCGCCATCAGCTGACGCTGAGGTAGCAGTGGACACAATCCACTCCACTGTGTCTGGACTGCTGAGTTTTTGGCAATTACTGGAGACTTTAACCACACCACTCTGGATAAAGCCCTGCCGACTTTTCACCAGTATGTTGACTGCCCCACACGAAACAATAAAACTCTGGACCTACTGTATGTGTTGCCCTCCCTTCAGTGTATGATGACGGGCGCACCAAAGAACGGCAGCAGACACCTTGAATACAGTTTAAACAAATGTTTTATTGAGGGTGCCTGTTCTCTACGTTACACTCTTCTCTTGCTGTTCTTCTTCTCAACTTTAGTAACGTCCAAGCTCAGCAACAATACCACAATAACTATGCGGTCACATTCACCAACGGGTTAGCTTGTTAGGCTAATGCTAATAACGGCCCTATCAACAGTTTTCTACCAAACAGTGAATTACAATCTCTTACTAGCCTTAGCTAACAAGCGTAACAGTTAACCTAAACAATGTGTGCCTTTAAAATCGAAATCTCACCTTGAATACAGTTTAAACAAATGT